AGTATTTCATTGAGACATGGCTCGCGCATGACGCGATCTTCCCGCCTCACATTTGGAATCACTATCGTAATTATGGTGCGAGAGCTACCAACCACCTGGAAGGCTGGCATCAGTCCCTGAATCGTATCGTACGCAAGAATCACGTCAACTTGTTCGGAATTATCAGTCATCTCCGCAATCAAGAGGAGAAGCATAAGGCAGACATGCTGCTGTTGAGGATGGGACAAGATCCGCCTAGAGCGGCGAAGGAATACAGGTTCTTAAATGACCTAGTCAAGTTTGTAGACAAACTGGAGTCCGACGAAATAACTTTGATCGAGTATGTCCACAGCGTCGGCTACAACTTGTGTTTGTGAGCAGATTATACATGACCAATTGTCCTGTTGAAATAGATAATGTGCGGCACCCCACTTCCAATGCTCATATGCCTTTTTTTTCGCAAAGGAGTTTACAGAAGTTCGGAATTCTGGCGATCGGGAGTCGGGCGATCGGGAATCGAGCGATCTGCGCATAACCGCATGGCTTACACATTTGTCTCGGAAAAGTTCTGGAGAATTCGTCGATTAGAATATTCTCGTGCATCTCTATGGACGACATTGAAAATTTGCTCGATGATGAGATCGCGGAAGTGATCAGCGATGATGCAACGAGTGAGAGCTCGAGTGATTCCGAATCTGAGGGAGCTCCTGAGAAATCTCTCAATCGATCGGACAAGCATTGCAGGATCTGCGGAGCTCCCTGAGGACAATCAAGAGAAGCGGATCCAAGCGCGATAGACTTCGCGCGTTACGACACGCGTATCCGGTGGTATCCCACAATAACGATGTTGGAACGAGCTTTGGTCGTCATGCCGGCTATGAATGCGGTAATAGCTGAGAATTAGGGTTCACCCTTCCGCGGAGAAGCAACGGAAGAGCTACAGGGGCTTCAGGAAGTCTTGCGGCCTTTCCGTACCGCTATGAGATGTCTCTCTCTCTTTTCGACTCGAGCTAGGTTGGCTCATGCAGACCGGATTTTGTTAGTGCTCTTGCGAACTTTGCGACGTAATCGCACTGAACTCTCAGCCGCGCTACAGACCGCGGTCATCGTGGAGACACTGAAGAGACGAACAACTGCGTCCTCTATCCTGCAGTACCTAATTGATCCAGAATACGATTTCGCAATCGAGTTCGAACTCGTGGGATGGAGACCGTCGGAAAAAACGCTCCGTGATCTCATCGTGGGGATCCTCATAGAAGATTATGACTCGAGCGTCGAAACTATGGACATCGAGGAACATGATGTTACTCATGAAGAGATCCCCTCAGGAACTTCGGCCCCTTCGCCGATGACTTTCGACACCGTTTTCGAAACTCCGCTCCTCCGGGGAAAAGTAAAATTCGAGATGAAGCTTTACGAAGCTAGCAAGGGGCACGGAAGACTTCTGCACTCTTTTTTGGGGAAGTCGCTAGCTGTCCAGCCGACATCTGTACGGCCGGAGAGAGACTTCAGTGTGATGAATTTCATTTGCTCTAAAGCTCGAAACTCTTTCGCTTCATCGACGCTGGACAGTCTTGTGTTTTTGCGATCGTACTTGAAGAGCCGCCTCAGAAATTGGATGTCATATTTGTAAAATATAACAACATAATTCTGATTTCTCCGATGTCTTCTTCTGATTTCTCAGACATCGGCCACTAATCCTCAGCTTCGAAGTTTCATTGACTTCACAAGAAAAGATCCGGGACTTGATCCAGATCGAAACTGCCATGATTTTTCTCGATGCGACGCGGGCAATTCTTCATTCCGATGCAAAACTAGGAACTCCTATGATGAGTGGGGACAGATAAGCTCATCTAAATCTGATTCGTGTAGTCTTCATGCCGAAATATAGCGAGGATTCCGTCGATCGGAACTCCTATACATATATGTGTTTTTAACTCTCTCGGTTTCATCCATGAGTCAACACCGAGTCCGTTCTCTCACTCGAAGGCTCAAAAGGCAAATTCGCTGCTCGCGAGTCGTTCATACTGGGGGAATAGCGCCTCACCGACCGATCCGACTCCGAAATCGTTTTGGTTGGAAAATCCGGTTTCCTCACCGGATTCGAATAGAAACCGATTTTTTCCCAGAAACCGGTCTGTGGAGGGAAACTTCGGTCGGTTTCTCCTGAGATGGCGCTGACAATGAGTGTTCGATGAGATGAGTAGGCACTGTTCGGATGGAACACAACCGACCAAAGAAATAATACCGGAATGGGATTTTACTCCTTCAAAGAAGTCAGTCTTCATTGAAGCTGTTTATATATGTACATGATTGGGAAGGGTCAGTCCGGTGTTACGCATCGGATAAAGTGAAAAGCAATTATCGATATATAGAACACGTGTAGAGCAATTCGAATATTCACCGCCACGGGCGAGTCGTAATTTACGATCTTGCTCAACTACTCATTGAGGTGAACCATGAGATGGGAAAATACGAAGTACAGTTGGTTCCATCATTCCCTCCCTTTTTCCGTAATCCATGGTGAATGAACCTTGTCGATCATTCTGCGAGTCTAGGTTATCAAGTAAACACTGATTCTAGAATGCGCGGGAAAACTCAAACGCAGAAATCTACCGGAGTATGAAAGAGCGCGTTTCGAGAGTGGAATTTGTCTTCGTGATCTATACGTTTGAATTATGAAACGTGGTTCATCTATCGTCGAAAACCTCTGAGCCTGTCCTGACTAAAGAAAACTTCCACAGAAACAAGGTTTGTCAGAGTGAGAGAGAATTAGTCTTATCTGTCTTTCTCTCATCTCAGTTGCTCATTGATATATATTTTCTCCCGTATCTTCAGTGATGATGGGTTCAACAGACTCGGAAACCAATCTACCCGATACCTATGCGCCCGGTCCCTCGTCTGACTGTGGTCATGATGTACTCGCATCCAACTATAAGGGCCTGTCATTACGCTGCGAAGCCCTATTACGGCGTGTTGAGAAACTTGAAATCTCCGAGCGTAGCGGGGCAAATCCGCCGTCTCCCGTCACTGAGCTTGAGGAAATTTCGATCTCGTCCGCAGAAACCCCTCTCCGTCCGCAGAAATCTCAGGAATCGCCTAGAGGTTCACTTCTTGGTGATGGTCCGTCTACGAATTCGCCTCAAGGAGACGTGTTCCCTGAATCTGTGCCGACGGAATCCGATCATATTACTATTCCACGGCCAGCAAACGGTTTCGGTTTTTCTCGTTTCGGTGGATTAATCTCGAATCGTTTCGTCGTGGACGGAGCCAAGTCATTTTTGAGTTGCTCGAAATTTTCTAGGTCGTCCATAACTTCCGGGAAAAAATAATCTATATCTTCCTCCATCAATCGAGCGGCGCGTGCTCGGATGTCGTTGTCTTCCGAGTTCATGAGGGACAGCATCAGGATGTATTGTTTCATCTCGTCAAGCTGTATGCCTCCCCATTCTGCGTCTTCCGCCGCTTCGTTGATGACTCCCGTGAGCTCCTTCAGCGTTCGACCCGATCGTTTGATGTTGAGCGATTCAATGCGTCTCTTGAACAGGCTCATGGAGACGCAGAAGAGTTTGGTGAGCTGTTCGATCGCGTCATCTGGGCTCAGATCGCCAATTTTCACGGGTTTAATGTGATTGACGAACGCGTCGTACTCTATGGAATTGAGTTTACTGATGACGAATCGGATCGTATCTTTCATGGCCAGGGCGCCCCCTTCTGATTCGAGTATTGGCGCGTATCTTGCGTACCATTTCTCGAACGTGTGTCCGTTTTCCGGCTTGAATGTAAATTTAGGGATTCTACTGTTGAGATGGTCCATGATGGTGTACCCTGAGGTGCTCGCCGTTTGTTTGGGGGCTTGTTGGAGAGCTTCCCTTACTGCTGTGGACACGATCCGTTGCACGTCTTCCGCCGTGAAAGTCATTTTGTTTCCAAGGTATTGTCCACACTCGTTGAGCTACACTAACGCTGATGGTGAATTTTCCCCACTGCTGGTGCTGGTTGACTCCGAAAAATCTTCGTCGCCACTGTTGTGACTTGCTGAATGGTCAGGCGATGATCCGTTGGGATCGGAACGATGAATTGAGAACACGACGTTAACCGTCCGAGAGTTGGACACCGAATGTGCAAAAATGTGTGTCTACCTTTTATTCTCTCTCTCGCGCGGCACGCCTGCTCTTAGCTGAAGGAAATAGGTTTCGAATTTTGATAGATGACTGAGGATACTCTACAGTATCGGAGATCGTGAGATGGCACTTCTGGAGCACACCACAGTTGAATAAGTACAGCAGGAGTTGACGAAGTAAATATGACTGAATCCGATCAGTATTTTATTGAGGGAATCACTGAGTCTTATATACAACAGAAGAGAAAGGACACATTCTGTATTTTCTGTATAATTTATAAAACCACGTGTTTCCCTATATGGAATTAAATAAGACCGGGCTAGTGGGTTGTAATACAGCCGAGTAGGCTGAGTAGCCAAGAAAGGCAAGGCAAGAGTGGGAAAGAAACCTTGGATAGAAAATTAGTCAGAAATTCTATCATTCTCTCCCTTTTTCCACTCTTCTATTATCTTGCGGGTTAATTCGACCTTCTTATCTGAAACGAGCAGAAGAAGTCAGTTTATGGGGCATAATTGGCGCTGCTGAGCTACCGGGTAGGAGCTGCAGTTTACCTCCTCCGTGTATAAAAGGAGGGGCTGGAGAGCCAATCTTTTGCTTTTGCCACAGAGACCAATCTCTCCGGGCCGCTGTTCGTAAGAAACTCCCAGCGCGAAAGTTCCGTGAGGCCGAGCCACGAGCGTAAGTTTTCTTTTGTTAATCGTTTAACCAAATCTCACATTAGATCTTGATCACTGTTATCTGACCCTTCTATCTGATAGCCATGGTAGAAACAGCTGATTTTTCTTATCCCGTGTAGCAGAAAGATCAAGATCGCGAACATGTCAGAAAAATCCCTACTGCCCCGAAGCTCAATCGACCCAAGTGATTCCGGTGTGTATGTCGAGTGCAACTGAATTCTAATTTGTTTTATAGATCCGAAATTATTCCTTGAGCTTGAAGTGATCATATAATATCTCGATTAGCAGACGATGAGGTACGACCGCTAGGGTCTAGTAATCTTACATCACAACAAAGGCCGGCGGCCATTTTTTTTGAGGGAGAGGGTGAAAACAGCTGAGATTCTACCCGCTGAATCAACGGCGCATGTCTAGGTAACCTTACATCACAACAAAGGCCGGCGGCAGTTTTTTTTGAGGGAGAGGGCGGAAACAGCCAGCATTCTAGCCGCTGAGTCGAAGAGTCACTAGAGAGAATCGGAAATTGGATTGATTTCCGAACTTTGATTTCTTCGGCTCATATATGACGAATACGGAATTCTCTTTTGCAAATGGCGTGGAATCTGTTCAGCTACATGGTGGAGACTATACCAAATCGATCAGGAACGTTTGTGAATTTTCATACCGATTCTCCCAACATACCCCAATATATCGCTATTCACCTGCTCTGCGAGGGGAAAGCTTATATCCGAGTGATGATACCGTCAACTCATATCCTCACTCCCATATTCGAAACCCCTCGTGAAAGCCGACAAGTTCCTTTCGTCCGAATCTCTGATAAGTCTCAGCAACGGCGATGACGCGACTCAAAGGAAGGGTTTATCAAAGACCTATAGGTATAGAATATATCGTCGACTGCAAATGTCTTCCTCTTCATCTGTATCAACCTGAAAGGCGACCTCGTTCACGCTCTCCGGATCGCATCGATCTATGACTGCGTCTGGGAAGACCCTCAAATGGCCCCTCATTCCGGAATCGATATCTTTGCGTTGTACAGAAAGCATTCTTAATTAAAGTTTTTCATCAACCTCTCACATCATTGCTCAGTGACCGCGCCAAAGCGACCCCAGGCAAGGGTGGATCGGAGAACCATAACAAATTGCATTGAAATATGTTGAGAAGAAGTAGATGATATGCCCCTCCCCTCCAACTTATGCATGGCGTCCTGTTCTCTCGAGAAGTCGACCAACTTGGTCCGTGTCATCCCGTAGAGGATCCTCCGATCTTCTATGAGGCTGAGGTTTCGTGGCTAGGATCTCAGTCGTCAATACTAATTACCGAATGTTGGAGGAGTCTTCTCTAGATCTTGATTATTGATTATGATCGCTCACTCTCTTGTAGATCGAATCCCTGTGCCTCCCCATACTTCTGTATAGTACATATATAATCGCAGTGCTAGATGAGGAATACTCCTAATTATGTCCAGCTGCCAGGAGCCGGCATGAACCACTGGTGTAGAAGAGATTTCCGGGCGATGAATGCCAGACTAATTGAGATTATTTTTTTGATCTCTATTATAGCTCTGCTACTGTATAAGTAATACGCATGTTGGTGCAGGGGAATCGAGATTTTATCTACAATCAAGTGAGCAAACATAAACGAGAGACCAGAGAGACACTCCTACCTATCAGTATGAATACTGAACAATGAGACTACCTAAAACCATTCAACGTTATTGATAACGGGATTCCCGGAATGAGACGGACCAGGTAGGCCGTCTTCGACGGCATTTGCTAGCACCATACGCTCTGCGAACCAGCTGTCCAAATCATCCTCGTCGATCGGCTCTTCTTCTTCTTCTCGGAGGGCTTCACCTTCAGCTGGGGGATCATCTTGCAGCATGCCTTCGCGGACGTCGGCTGGAAGATCACGAGAAGGGTGAATTATTGCCAGATCCGTCAAGTAAGCAATGAAGCCTCTACTTCCGCGTTTGAATTATCGGGAAAAGACTCACCGGCACCCGATCTGTACTTCAGCCTTGAAATCAGCATCCGAGGGGTGATGAGTCCTGTTTCCAGACGACTCCAAGCCGAGTTGACCATTCCCTCATTGAGGACCGTCACCTTGCTGGGCACGGAGCGGATCGCCGACGCTCCTCTGAGACTGATGTTATAGTCGACATAGACGTGCTGCGCCATCTCCGTGAAGCATGCTGAAATTGAAAGACTCACAATTAGTCGGGGATCTTCCATTATCCATAAAGCACACCATTCGGGTCCTCAGACACTTACCGATGAGTTCCCAGACTGGTCCGTGAATTCCTATTGTGCGTTTGAGAACGGCGTTGTTAGACTCCACTGAGTTGTTCGTTCGACATGGTGCTCTGAAAATAGAAATCCCCGCAGGACCGACAGTCTCCATCCACTAAGATCGCATGTAGTCAATGAAAGGGCCGAAGCGACTATCAACCTGCATCGCTTCGTCCGAGATTGATTGGAATATCGGTAATATGTGCTCAGGTGGAGGAGTGGAAGCGCACAGAAGGATAATAAGGAGTCTAATACATCACCTCGTCGACGAACGTCTCGGCCAAAGCCCACAGCTGGCCTCCGCGCGTACCTCACCAGGCTCTGTGCGTAGTGGAAGTGGCATCCGTAGATGTGAGCTCCCGGGAATTCCTTAGCAACGGCTGCTCGCATTGCCTGATCGTAGTCGCCCATGTAAGCGGGAACAGTCAGGCCCGGGACTACCTGTTTCAGACACCGGAACACTTCTTCGTACGCTCCCGCTGTAGCGGATTTCATGAGAGCCATTGCGACAAGTCCCGTCTGGAAGAAGGAGATTTCGCGTTGGAGATACTACATACATCGGCTGATGAGAACAAGGACAAAGGGAGAAAGCATGATCAATTCGGCGGAAAGGGAACTCACATAGCTATTCCAGTTTCCGTGGATGCAGAAAATCTGCGAGCACAGCTTCGTGGGGCTTATCTTGTAAGTGGCATCCGCATGCATGACGGACACTTGCGGGAGTAGTTGGAGAAGTCTCCCCGTGTAGAGAACGAGAGATCCGTGCTCCGCGCAGAAGGAGCTTGAGAGTCGTTCGCCGTCCGCGGTGCGAGTCCACTCTGGCAAATCCTGGCTGCTGATGGCGAAGTGGAGTTCCTGTAATGTTGAAACGCTTTTAGGTCTAACTTTTGCAGCGTGCCATCGAGCCGTGCGCGTGTGGGAGGGGACAACAATGCGTCGAGCAGCGGTCAGGGGAAGATGCAGTCGGTTCTTAAGTATGACATCTGACGGCTTTGCGCGACGGTTGGCCCGTATGTCATCGATCCACGACTTGCGGCATTCCCTGACAGCGACTCCGTGCCC